GTAATCCCAGCACTTGAGAGACTGAAACAGGAGGATCCTGCAAGTTCAAGGCCAGCCTGGGTTACATAGAGCTCAAGGCCAGCCTAGATCACATAATGAGATCATGTCTCTAAACAAACAAACAAAGCTCAGGAGGCTAGGAGGCTTGCACATCAAGCAAGTGTTGTGGCTCTTAAAAAGAATGAGTGCTTCTCAGAAGTTCCCAGATATCACACAGGAAACCTTAAAAGAAAAAAAAAAAAAAAAAAAGCAAATAACCTCTACTTTTCCATTCAACTCTAGAGAGCCAGTTGGGCCCAGGAATATGGGAGTTATTTATTTATTTATATATTTATTTTTGAGATGGGAGTCTCACTATGAAGTTGGACTTGAGCTCACTCTGTAGCCCATGTTGGCCTCGAACTCATGGAAATCCTCCTGTCTCAGCCCCCTGATTACTGCGATTACGGGGATGCACCACCATGCCCAGCTGGAATATGAATTTTAAATGACCAACATCCCTCCAGTTCCACCAAGAATTTGATGTGGCAGATCTCACAATTCCTGTTCAAGAAACTGGGTGAAGCTGATGAAATGTGGATGACAAAAATCCTCCCAGGAAAGAGCAATGTGTGATGAGGGTTTGGGTTTTGTGCTTTTTGTTTGGTGGCACAGGGGAATGATGGGATAATAAGGAGCCACATGTGTCTTCCTGTCTGGCATAAAACTAGGAAGAATGCATGAAAGGATGGTGTCGAAACACAGGATGTTGGGCAGCAGAGGACAGTGAGCTCTGAAAGACAGGAAACAAGTAAGCGGAGCCCTGCAGATGTCCAGGCCACAGTGCAGAAGGACACAGGCAGAGCCCAAGAGAATCCTGACCTGGTGAGGGAGCTGGGGGTCTAGGGAAAGCAAGGCAGCCAGAATTACAGGATAGCATAGTGGAGGGAGAAAGCGGAAGACGCAGATCCAGAGAGGGGCAGAGAGCTCCTTGGCTAGACACCAAAATACTGATTAGCAAGTGCATTTGAGGAAACTCCCCGAGGGCAGGGGAAGAACCACCCAAATGGCCTGGAGGAACCTGATCTGAACCTGGTTGCACAGGGCTGGAGAAGTTCCTGTTTCTATCAGGCAGATATCTGGGATATCTCATAGTCCATGGGGATGACACCTGGCATTCAGAAGAGTCTCACCTCAGCATGACGAGATAATAACCAGCAAGATTAAACATGGCTCTTCTCCCATCCAATAAATCTTGAAAGCAAGATTTTAAGGTTTCAAACTGTTCCAAGTAACTTAATTACAGTCCTAGGACAAGGTTGAAGAATAGTTCTAGGAAGTCAAAACTGTCCACCATCTGACAAACTAAAACCCATCGCTTGCATCCACAAAAACAAAGAAAAAAACAAAAACTAAAACCTTACTTCAATCTAGAAATAAAACTTCAGTTACAATCTAGAAATAAAACTTCAGTTTACAGTCAATTGATTTTCAACAAAAAGCCCACTAGAAATACTAAATGAGTTTAGCATGGTTGCAAGATACATGATTAATATACAAAATTAGTTGTATCTCTATACACTAGCAATTAAAAGTTAGAAATTTTAATAACTTTGTATCAAAAGTATGAAATGTGCATAAATCTGACAGTGTACATGCTAACCTGTACACTGAAAACTCTCAAAAATTACTAAGAAAAAATTAAAGGAAAATGAAATAAAGGGAAAGTTCTTTCCAAACAGATTTATAGATCAATGCAATCCCAGTCAAAATCCTAGAAGAACTTTTCAATGGAAATTAGAAAGCTAATTCTAAAATTCACACAGAAATGCAAGGACCTGGAATATCCAGAACAAGCTGAAAAGGAACAGAGTAGGGGAACTTCAAGGCTTATTACAAACCTACAGAAACGAGGACACTATGACTTAGGCATCAAGATAGATACTGGGAAAAGGAGACGACACACATGTGCTTAACTTAATTTTACAAGGCACAAAGACGATTCGGTAGAAAACAATTGTCTTTTCAGCAGATGGGGCTGAAAGAACTGGATTCCCTGAAAGACAGTTGTGATCCATTCTTGTATTTTATACAAAAATAATTCAAACTGGATGATAGACCCAGTTACAAAACCTAACACTACAAACTTTCTAGGAGAATGTGTAGATAAAATATTTTGTCTTTAGGTTGAGCAATTCTTAAATACAGTAAAGAAAAAGGTCAGTCATTGGATTTCATCCAAATAGAACTTTTACTCTTTGAAAGACACTGTTAAAAAATAAAAAGACAGACTGGAAGAAATATTTACAATCATACATCTGATAAGGATGCACATTCAAAAAATGTAAAGTAAACAGGTATGGTGGCACACAGCTGTATATAATCTGGGCGCTCAGGACAGTGAGGCATGAAGATCACCATGAGTTCAGAGTCAGCCTGGGCTACACAGTGAGATCTTGTGTTTTTAAAAAACTGAAACAAAAAACAATTTTATTAAAAATGGGCAGAAGATTTGAGCAGATCCTTTACCAAGGAAGCTGTGTGGATGTTGAATAAGCCCGCAAGAAAAAGCTGGGGGCTCCCTCGTCACTAGGAAAATGCTGTGCACAGCCACAGTGAGCAGCCACCGCTCACCGGGCAGAAGAGCCTCCACAGAGGGCTGCTGCCACGTATTGGTGAGGAAGTGGAGCAATGGAAGCTCTTGCGCTCTCGTGGTGGGAATGGGAATGACACAGCTGCTCCAGGAATGATACAGGGCCTGCAAATGATACAAGGGAGCTATTATAATCCCCAACCTACCGAATGTCCAATACACTGAGCTTGTGTTCCCCAAAATCCAGGAAGGAATTTTAAGAAACAATAAAGGTCAAGAGTAGGAAACATTCAGTGAAAGGCAGCTCCTGCCCAACAGAGTCAGGAGGGGATTCAGAAAGTGGGTTGCCTACGAACCACTTCTCAATGAAGTTTTATAGAGCCCACCAGGAGGTGGGTACAAAATCACGAGGCAGCAGCTACAAGGTGGGACAAAACGATTTTACACTTAGCCACATAGGTAATACTGCTCCAGCAGGGAAGCAAGTCACATAGCAAGTGTGCGTGGAAAGAACAAGGCCCTTTCCTAGAAGGGATGCGTCAGGAAGTCTCAGTTCCCCACCCGAGTGGTTGATTTAGAGTATCGATCATCATTGTTTATCGGTTGGGGAGATATGCAAGTGTAGTCATTCCATCTTTATCTTGAGGCATGCGCCTCCAGCCATAACCGTACTGTGTTCCTATCTCTGCACTGACTCCTTTAAGGGCCCAGCCCTGTCTGCCTGCCTATAACACTTCTACCTAACTTAGCTTCCTATAACACAACTGCTGTGGAAAACAAGAGTTCATGAAAAGTTAGGCATAGACCTACCATCTGCCATCCCCCTCCTATTTACTGCTCTGGGATAAATGGAAGCACATATCTATAGGAAGACTCGTGAGTAAATGATTATAGCAGCTTTATTTGCAATAGCCCAAGCCGAGGTTTACCAGAAGGCCATCAGTAGGTGAGGAATACATCTCTTTGGGGCGGGATGCTGTTCAGCAGAATGGCATTTGCCTCGCGTGCACAGAACTCTAAGTTTTACTGCCAGCATTGCACAAGAAGAAGGTTTCTTCAGTCATAGATTATGGCAAACTGCACAGCACAGGGTCACTGGACAGCAGCAATAATGCACAGTGGACTGCTGGGAGCACGGCTGTCTTGTAGGAGTTACCTGCGTGAAAGAAGCCAGCTGAGAGGGCATGCTCTGTATGGCCCCATCTCTGTCACAGTCCAGGACAGTGCAAAGTACCGTGTTCTGTACCGACAGCAAAGTCAGTGGTGGCCAGAGTGTGAGGAATCACAGAGGGCCCTGGGGAACTTTGGAAGGAGAGGACTGTGATCATGGGCTTTTACTTATGATGGAACATGGGTACAGATGTAAGGAAAATCCTGAGTGGTGGCTTCCCATGGATCCTGACCCTTCTTGGCATTGCTTGTAAAAATACTGACGTCCCTAATGAACTGGCCTGGCTTAAGTCCTGCATAGAGAACAGACCATTTCTAGGCCAAGAGGCCCTTGGTTTCAAAAGAAAAGGAAACTTGCGGTAAACGTAAGGTGGCCCATGACCTTGGAGCAGGTGCCCTGATCCTCTTCTGTTTCCAGCCTCCTCCTCCTCTGCTGCCCTCCCTCATCGGCCGGTGCTGTGAATGAGCTCCTGTCCTGGCACTTTGCAGCCAGCAGCCTGTCAGGTCTCTATCTTAGTAAAGCCAGGTCCTTGCAGCAAGTACTTTTCTCTCCCCTTTTTGTTTCTTACAGTAGTCATGTAAAATTGAGGAAAATGTGAATTTAAGTTTATGGACTCACTGGAGAGGGAAGAGCTGCCCTGGTTGTGGGTGACACCCTACAACAGGCTCGGCCTGAATGGAGTAAAAAGGAGAAGGGCTGCGGTTTCCTGCTGGACCTGCCATGGACTGTTCCTCCTCTCCTCGCCACCCCGCCTTGGAGCCTGCTGACCATGTAGAGGCCTGAGATCTCTAGACTATAGCCAGAGTCAACCTCTCTTCCTTCAGCTTGTGAGTGTTGGGTGTTTTGTTCCATCAACAAGGAAGCAAGTAAAACACCCACTTCAAGGAAACTTCATTGAACTATTATCCTTAAGATTTGTGCATTTCAGACGGATATGGTGGCACATGACTGTAATTCCAGCTACTTGGGAGGCACAGGCAGGAAGACTGCAAGTTTGAGGCCAGCTTGCATGACTTGGAGAGATGCTGTTGCAAAATTTTAAAAAAGAAAAGTCTGCATTATAGCTTAGTGATAGAGTGGTTGCCTAGAATATAATGTGGATATCTAAGTCTAACTCTCAGTACGGAGGAAAACTTGCATGTTTCATGTATATAATTTATACACATACATGCATATACATGTTCCTCCTAAGGTTTTAGTTACCTGTGTTTATTTGTGTTCTAAACTTACAAAATGTCCAGAAATAAAGAATTCAGAAGTTTTAATTATTGTGTTATTCTAAGAAGTGCGATGAAGTCCCCTGCCCGTGAGTTCCCTGCTGTGCCTTTGACAGCAGATCCACCATCTACACTGCCAGCTCCTGCCGTCTGTCAGTTCCCAGCCATGGGCCATTGCGTCAGTACAGTGCTTGGGTTCAGGTAGCTCTTAGTTTGCTTAAGGATGGCCCCAAAACACGGGAGAAGTGATGCTGGAAAGTTCAACACAGTGCATTATGACTAATCTGTTTTATTATTGATTATTGTGGTTGATCTCTTACTATTAAAGTTTATTAAATAAATTTTATTAATTCTCTTAGAATTAAAGTTTATCCTAGGAAAAAATAGTATATGCAGGGTTGGTGCTCTTTGCCCATTCACTGAGGGTCCTGGAATGTACCCCACAGATAAGTGGGGACCACTGTGTGACTATATGATAGCCACTAGGCAGGGTAGCTTTAGGCAGGTCCCCTTCCCCTCTAGGGAAGTGGTATCCTCTTTTGTCAAGAGCCGGGCTGTGCTCTGAAGTCCCTCCCTGCCTGCACTGATGTCTGTGACTGTGTGTCTAAGGATAAAGAGACAGTCCCTGGCAAACAGTGATGGCACACAGTTAAACCAGCCCAGATTTCCAGCACACACACCCTGGAGCCCAGCCTGAGCCCCTTTAAATTCCATTATCTATCCCTGCATGTTTACACAGAGAAAAATCTGTTATACTTAAAGTCCTGGTCTTGGAGCCAGGGCCAGAGAGGCAGGGAGAGAGCAAATATTGATGGTGGCTACAGAGCGCTCACCCAGGCTATTCTGCTGCTGTGTCAGGGGCAGGCCTGGCCCACTTCCTCTGGGTCTCCTGGGTCCACCCTAGGAGTGCAGTTTGGAGGGCAGTACAGCACGTGTTCCCAGGTGGAAGGACCAGTAGACAAGAGAAACAAACACGGGCTCTCCTGCCAGTGCCAGCACCCCCCCCCCAGCCCTGGCTGAGAGAGAGAGGTACCAGAGCGCCCCAGTGCGCTCTGATTCCAAGCCCATCAAGGTTAGCTCCTGAATCTGCATCTTAAAGGCTGTGTGATCCTAGCCCAACCCCTCTGTCTCTCCGTGGCCCTGAAAGTGGAGTAACCAAGCCAGGTTTGCTGAATGCTTGTGAAGATTAGAGAACGTGAGATTCCACGGAGCAGGCCTTCTCCGGGTTCGCGCTGACTGCTAACACTTGTGACAGCTGCCAGCACAGCACTGGGCCCGGAGCTTTGCTCCTTGTCCTTTAGGAAGCCCGGCAGCCAGTCTGTCTCAGGCTCCTTCTTCCTCACTCTTCTTTGCAGTCCTTTTCAAAGCAGTTGGGAGTATTCCTCCTGCTACAAACCTCAGCCCCTTGGGCAAAATCCCTCTCTGCAGCCTGGAAGCCAAGCTCCCCTACACCCTCCAGCAACTGGACCCCTGCTTCTCAGCTCAGCTTCAGCTTGGGGTGTCAACTCCTGCTCTCCTCTGCTCCTGGCTCCTTCTGAGGAAGCAGAGGTCTTCTGACCAAGGCAACATGAGACAGCCAATCCAGCTTCAGAGGCCGACTGCCTGGCTCTGCCCCCAGCTAGTGGGCACAGGTCAGCTAGCGGCCTCATCTCTCCGATGAGACACATTAGGGACTCTAATCAGGCATTTCCCTGGCGAAGGCTCCACTGATGCCCCACTGCCCTCAATTACGGTGTGACCAGCTGTGCCCTTCAGAAGCCCCTCCTCTCTCTTGCACCTCTCTCCCTCCCCTACCCAGGATGCTGCCTACTCTGGTGTGGCGGACCTTTCCCAGCTGAGCTCTGCATGCCTCACGCCTTCCTCAGGGACCAGGCTTGCCCTTCCTCGCCTCTCTCTGTGAGTCTGTGGGAAGGAGGCTCTCCAGTCAGCAGGCCTGACCAAACCCTGGGGAGCCAAGGATGAGGCTGGGGTCTGCAGGAGCCGCTCAGGCTGCAGTTACAAAGAAACTCAGCGAAGGTACCACGCCTAGGCAGCACTTGGGAGCTCAAGCTCCCACAGGGTCCGGATGCTCCAGTCAGAGCTGTGAAGGCCTAACTCCCGGAGGCACCTCGTGGGGCCCAGCCCCCCCTACCCCCGTTCCATTCCCCTGTCCACCCGCACCTCCATGACTTGAGGTGCAGCCTCTGCTCTCAGGCCTCTTCCTTTGGAGCCCAGGAGTCCCTGACCGGGCCCAGGTAAGCCGAGCGTGCCAGAGAAGGAAGGAGGGGGGAAATGAACCAAGCATCACTCACCGCTCACCGCTCACTGCACTCTTTGATGCCCATTTTTGTTTCAAAACTCACAAGAGGCCGACCTATAAAACCTAAATGGCAATAGATCTGTCTTCTCCCTTGTCCAGAATCCATGCCTCTCTCTGTGTCTCCAGAATGAGTGTGGGACACTTTCTTAGCCTGGCCTGGCCTGGTCACATCGGGTTGGGGTGTGGCTAACTGCATCCGAGTTCCAGTTCTAGCCCTGGCACTGCTGTAAGATCCTGGATGGGTCACTTCCCCCGGGCCTCAGCTTCCCCCATTTGTCCAAGGGAGACATCTCTCCTTGCCTGCCTGGGCATTGTGAAGCGGGAAGAGGTTGAGAGCAGCTCCCTGCAGCTCTAATTCTTTCTTGGGAACCTTGGCTGTCCGGCTGGCAGCTGGGGTGGGGCCCGGGACCCTCCGGCCATCCTCCCTCCCCACCTTCTGTTCTACAGCGGCAAGTCTTGGGGACGCTTCCTGCTGGCAGGAGGACAAGCACCCTGCCTCCCACGCCATCACATGTAATCAGTCATCACATGTTATCAGAGACAGAGAGAAAGCCCCGCACTGTGTGCCTTAGGTACCAGGAGGGAGGAAGGGGCATGCGCTGTACTTCTGTGCCACCCTGGAGGATGGCCAGATCCTTGGCTTGGCAGAGAGGGTACAGACTGATCTTTCCACAGGGTGATGATAAGATCAGGAGCTGCAAACCTGTCTTAGAGTACAGGTGCCTGTTCCTTTCATGTGGCTCCAGGCAGATCTGAAACCATGGCGGCAGAGTCTCATCTTTGCTACAGGGGCCTGACATGACAGAGAACTAACTCCCCGCTAGAGGCATTCAGGGAGAGGCTGAGCCATGGGAGAGCAGGAAAGGCCATTGTGATTCACAAGTGACGTGGAGGTGCCACTAGGCCACTTATGCTTTGCAGTGCTGGGGTGGGAGCCTGGGCCTCGAGCATGCTAAGTGAGTGCTTTACCATCAAGCTATACCCCACACTTCCTCAGATGATTTGGAAAGCGCCTTCCAGGAGGCTGGAGGTTTAGGTCAGTGGCTCAAGCACCTGCCTGGTAAGTGCAAGGCTGTGAGTTCAATCCCCAATATCCCCCCAATAAAAAGAAAGAAAGAGGAAAGCGTCTTCCTGTGCTGGAGCCCAGGATTCAGGCTTCACGTGTGAGCAGTCATCTGCACCATCCCCAGCAGCCTCTTGCTGGCCTGGAGGATCCCTCAGGGCCGCAGACAGGAGTACTCATCAGACCAGTCGGTGCAGTGCTGCGTGCCATCCTGGCACAGGGTCCTCGGGACACAGTCACAGTACTTGAAGAAGGTGGAAGGGCAGCGCCACCACCCAGGGCCGCAGGGTGGGCACTCGGTCACTGGAGAGATAAGAGCCAGCAGGAGGGAGGCTGCTGTGTCCTGGAATGCCCTATACCCCCTCGCCTCCCAGCTCCCCAGCCCCACCCCAGCTGACCCAGGCTGGCCACATGCCTGGTCTTCTGGTCAGAGAGAAGCCAGGCCTCACAACTCCTAGGCAGCGTGACCTCCTGTCTGAGCCGCACTTCCCCACCTACTCAGAACTGTTACTGAGTGGCAGAGGACAGGAGTGCCCAAACATTAACGGGTACAACTTTTCCTCCCCACCTTCCCCCCTGGCCCCAACCCCTCCCCAGGATGCCCCTCGGACTCCCCTCCAGCCCACCCCTGATCTCCAGTGTTCCTCCTTACAGACTACAAGCCCCCACTCCCCTGCCCACATTGTGAACCCCGAGGCCTGCTCAGGGGCTGTCTCTTCTGAGAAGCCCTGATGCCACTGGAGCCCTAGTGCTCCCCCTCGTGCATTCTGAGGACATGTGCCTGATCCCTGATTGTCCCCACCACTGTGGTACCAGGCCCTGCCCCAACAGTGCACAGAGCATGTTTGTTGATTGAATCCTGGGGAAGAGATTGGAAGGAGTCTGGAGAGGGACTTCGGGGTGGTTCATACACCCGGGTTCCCTTCCTGCCTCAGCTTGTCCCTACTGCTCTCAGAGCTCCTGTTTCCCTGTGTGCATACTGGGTCTGCATCCCTTCTCTGCTTTCATCGCAGGGCCTGTGGGAGGTGATGAGGGCGACCCAGGTCCAGGTCCCAGTGGGCTGTTCCAGCCTGACCATTCTTGAAGGAAGGCGTTCTGTAGGGAGGATGAACCTCCAGGGAGAGCCGCTGGTGTGGTGGTGAGCGTCCTGCCCTAGAGACTTTTAAGCAGGGGTGTGGAGGGCATGCAGTGGGAGGCCCAGGGTTTCTCTGCCCCACAACTGCCCTCTGTCTGCAGCCTGTCACCTGTTCTGAGACCCCACCTGGGCTCAGTTCATCCGAGCAGTCCCCGCAGTTGTTTGTCCCATCACACTTTTGGTCAGAATAGATCCAGGAGGCTGGGTCTCCGCAGCGGGCCACGAGGAAGCTGGGGAGGCTGCGGGGCACATCTCCTGCGGGAGCCAGGTGGGGAGAAGAGTCCACATCGGACCACAGCAGCCTGGGGTCCATCTGGAGCTGCTAAACTCAGGATCACCTCCCTCCCATCTCAGGGAGGCACCGGAGGCTCCTGGGGATGATGAGGGCAAGTGGAAGACAGAGGCGTCCTGCTGCCCCTTGGTTCCTGCTCCTGCTGACCCCAGGAGGCTGGCTGTGAGCGCTTCTGAGAGTAGCCAGGTCTTCCTGTTTATTCATTCTCTCTTTCACTCAGCACATCAGGCACAGAGCCCCAAGACCAAGAAACTGACCTGCCCAGTGTGACAATTCAGCAGATGGGACACCGGTGTGCCCAGAGCTGACCCACAGGGAGGAGCAGGGGCTGGAGGAGCCTTGGGAGGCCCTTAACTTGGTGGGTCAGGTGGTTTCCTAAAGGAGCAGCCCTCAACCTCTGCTGGAGGATGAAGACCAGTTCTCGGGTAATGGACACCCACTGTGAGGTGGCCCTACATGTGACAGTCCTGGCCGAAAGCCCCATATGCACATATGCACAAAGCTGGTGCTCAGCACTGAAGCAGGAGCTGCTCTTGGGGGTGCCCAGCCAGAGCCAAGCCGGCTGAACAGATACTCACGGCACAAGCTCTCGTCCTCGTCCTCGCCGTGGGGACAAGTGCGGAGGCCGTCACACACCCCACTGGCGGGGATGCAGCTCCTCTGGTCGTGGCATAGGAAGCCTGTTCTGTTGGTCGGTGTCACACAGACCTGGGCCCCTGAGTGGACAGGAGGAGGCCGTAAAGGTCAAAGGAGGCACCTAGCTGGGCAGAGGCAAGCACTGAAGGCACCTGGAGCTGGCCAGGAGAGCTGGGCAGGGGGAAGCTCTGGGACTCAAGGGCATCGATGCCCAGGCTCAGCATGACCATCTGCAAGTTTGGACAGATGAATTGCCCTCTCTCCGTCTGTAAGATGGATCCATGGCACAGCCCTGGGTGGGCAGGGTTTAAATAAATGCATCTCTATAGATAACACACATAGAGAACACATGGTTCTTGCCTTTCCTGATGACTTATCTGCCATCCCACAGGCTGCTCTGAGAATTGCGCTTCACCTGGCAAAGTGGCTTTACTGGTGGGCACCCTGGTACCACGTAATGTATCTGGGCTGCCTGGGAACTCACAGGTCATAGTCCCTTACATCTGGGCACCACAGACTGCAAGGCACCTTGGCGTGTTTTATCTATTGTCTTTTTGCCCTGCAAAAATGTCGTCATCAGCCTCCCACTAGGGGAGGGGAAGGCCACCCACCCTTGGAGTGGCCCCAGAGAGTCACAGGAGAGAAACTGGCAGCCGAGTTGGTGGTTGCCCCAGCCAAGCAGACCACATGCACACATATGTGCTAACCATGGCGGCAGCAGCTCTATCTACATGTATTGGTGCACGTGTGAGCCACGTCTCGGTTCCTGGAAGTTCCAGGGTGGGCATGGGGTGGCTGAGTCACAGGAGCGTGCACACTGTCACCAACATACATGTGTATGTGCTCACCTGTGTACACAGGCTCACACATGTACCTCACATGTGGATACCCGCAAGCACACCGGCACATGTGTGGATGCACAGGTCACATGCAGGCACACGTCCACACTCCCTTGTGGATTCACAACTCCGCCATGTCCCTGCTCCTGTGAATTTATCCCAGCCCTTCCCCTTATTCCTTTACTGTCCCAGCCTTCCTTGCTACAGAGCCGACCCTCGGAAAGTGGATCTGGAGACAGCCACCTCCTGCTCTGCCCCCTCCCCACAGCTCATGGGTCTAGACCTCTCTGGGCCCTGTGCACCTGGCCCCACCTGCCCTCTGCCCTTTCTAACCCAGCTGGCAGCCGCCTCCTCCTCTGCCACCTCCTGCACACACTGCTCCCTGTGCCCAGATGCCCTTTCTGGCTCTCCACCGAGCCGTCTCCATTTCCCTGCTTACTCAGGCTCCCTCTTACTTCCCCCAGGTGCCCACCCTGATGCCCACATTGGCCACGCCCATATCTCCAACTTCCAGAGCCTAAGCCTCTTCCCTGGGGTGCTTGTTGGATCCATGTCCACATGGCTCTCAGAAGTCTTCCCAAGGGCAGGGACAGTGGGGGTCGTTCATCCCTGAAGCCAAGGCCGTGGGAAGGTGTGGGACATGGCCCTGTCCTCTGTGATGGACAGAGAGACAGATGGAGAGGCAGAGAGACAGAGAAAAAGACAGAGAGACAGAGAGAAAGACAGAGAGACAGAGAGAGAGAGAGACAGAAAGACAGAGACACAGAAAGAAAGAGAGAGACAGAGAGAGAGAGGGAGACAGACAGACAGAGAGACAGAGAGACACAGACAGAGGGAGACATAGACAAAGACAGAGAGACAGAGACAGAGACAGACAGAGAGACAGAGAGACAGAAAGACAGAGAGACAGAGAGACAAAGAGAGACAGGGCAGCACCAGGGGTGGCCGGGCCAGGATAAGGGAAGTGATGGGGCTGTAAGGGCGGGGATGAACGAGACTCCTAACCCAGGCTTCCTGGAGGAGATGCAGTGGGAGCTGGCCCCTCACAGGAGTTCACATCATGGATGTGATGGACTTAGAGGCCCGGACTAGAACACTGCATCTGTGTGTGGGCAAAGGATGCATGGGTTCGTGCCTGCTCCAGAAGGCACTGCCAAAAATCAATTGCTAGAGAAGCCAGGCAGGTCAGGGCGCCTGGCGTCCCTGCAGGCCCACACTCTTCCTAGCAAGTCTGACCCACCCTCTCCCCACCTGGTGTGCGGGATGGGAGTCCAAGGCTGGAGACCAGGGCAACGAGGGCAGCAAGCATTGCCAGCAGGAGCAGCAGGAGGGCAGAGAGGCAGGCACCGCGGCGTGAGCAGCAGGGACCGTGGCCTCCTGGGAGGGACAGGAAAGGCAGTATTGGTGCCAGGGCTGGCCCAGGGCCCCTCCAGCTCTTGCCTCTGCCAGCAGCCCTCCAGCACCAGGGGCTGAAGGCAGGGAGGGCTGTGGGGACCAGGGAAGCTTCCATGCCTTGTGATGTGCTGCAGCTCGGCCTGTGGGCTCCATGCCACCAAGTGCCAACCTGGCAGGCTCTGCTCCTCAGCCTTGTCAGGTGGCCTCCTTGGGACAGATTGAGGAGACAGGGACACCTGCACACCTAGCTCCTGCGTGGGCCTTGTCCTGTCTATGTCAGAGCCGTGCTTTACTTTCTCAGTGAAGACGCTGGGGCTCAGAGAAGCAAAGGTCTGGGCTTGCCGTGCACACTGGGCTGAGTCCACACCTGCTTGACGGCACGACTGCGCGCTTTCCACGAGTCCAGCTGCCTGTTTTGGAGCCCAGGAGGGTGCTGGTTAGAATCCTACTTCTCCCACTTCCTATCCGGGCCACAGAGTAAGGTACTTTGCTGTCCTATGCCTCAGTCTCCCCTCGCAGAACATAGCATAACAGCTATTTCAGAGTTTACTGGAAGAATTCGGTTTTTTGAGTCAGTGTACTAGGCAGGGATCCATACACAGTGAGTGCTAGATGCGAGGCACTCTGAGTGTTTATTTTTTGATTTATTATTTTTATTGTTAGTATTATTATTTGCAGCATGGAAGATGGAACCCAGCACCCTACACCTGCCAGGGAAGTGTCTGCCATGGAGCTGCACCCCAGCCCTACTACATGCCAGCCTATATTCCAGCCCAACAGGAGCAGCAGTGTGAGGGGGTGTCTCTGCACTCATAGACAGAACTGTTCTCAGCTTCCTTAATTCTCTCTTCCTTGCAAAACAATGGAAGAAAGCTCTGTGGAGTCCTCAGGGTGCCTTGCTCTGGAGTGGGCACAGAAGTCGCTGTGGCCTTGGCCCTGCTCTCTGAGAGCCCGTGACTGCGCCTCAGGAAAAGGCTGTGCACACACAGGAAAGAGGAGTGGAGCAAGGCTGTCCTGGGCAGGCTCCCATACCAAGAGAAAGAGACAGGAGCAGGTGTCGTTCATGAGCCGCAGGCCTGCTCCCAGCTCGGGGAGCAGCTCTGAGCCAGCATGTGGTAGGCACTTTATGAACACTTTGATTACACTGCCCCTGAGAGTCAGGAGACAGAAGAGGCCCTCAGTTTGGGTCCTTTTCTGTCAATCCATCCATTTCCAGAGCCACTTGCCAGGCACCCCTACAGCTGCTGGGAGTGGTGGGAAGGGCTGGAGCACAGTGCAGGGCAGAGCCCTGGCTCAGCTCAAAGGGCCTCCAGAGCGGTGGTCACTCAGAAGGGACGCTGCCAGGAGCGCGTACGCCAGGTGGAGGTGGAGGAGGAGGAGTGGCACGTGGGTGCGCCGGCTGGGCAGTGTGGACCCACACTGTGATCCCTAGGGCCTGGCTGGAGGCTCGATTGCTGCAGGTAACCACAGGCACCCAGGGAGACAGCAGGAAGCTGGCGAGGAGAGGCGTCGTGATCACCCAAGGAGCTGCTCCCCAAAGGAGTGTGCAGCACAGACTGCACCACCAGGGGACTTGCTGGAGGCAGTGTCACAGGGAGAATCCAATGGAGGTTTATGCCCAGGCGAGGAGGCCTCGCCTCAAAGCCTTTCCTCCTTGAACAGATGCAGAAGCTATGGGCTCCTCAACTGCGTCCACTGCAAACCGGGACCTGGACATAAACAAGTGCCCGTGTGGACAACAAAGGCTTTGCCTCAGGACCTCAGGACCATGCCTCTGTCACCAGCCACGGGACCCTGACCTGCTCACCCAACCTGCTGCCTGGCTGCCCCTCGTTCCCTATTACCCGTCACAGCGCCAGGCCTCAGAGTGGCCCAGAAGTTTGAAAGGCATGTGCCGTGCCAGCAGCTCTGAGCGACAAAGCCGCCACGCTGTGACTGTCCCCTGCTTCTGTTTCCTCACTGAAGCAAACAGGGACAGATACAGCCTTGTGGGAGGTGCTAAGTAAGTGTGCGCTTCTTCTTCCTGTCCCTCAGACAGCTAAGAGCATGGTTGAGTCACACAGGGAGCCAGTGCACAGAACAGGTGCTAAATAACCGCGAGATCCTGGCACTTTGTCCCTCTGAGGGAAAGAGAATCAGCAGCTCACTGGCTGAGTCCAGGATTAGACACATTATTTGACCTTACAGGTGGGCACTGCATGCAGTTCAGCACCTAGGAGATGCCCAGCACACAGCAGGTGCCCAGTAACTGCATAGGCAGGGAGAGAAAGAACAGTAACAGGAAGCAAATGATGGCAGCATGGTTAGGCAGGGAGTAGCAGCAGACAGCTTAAAGGTGGGGTGTGGGGGCCCAGTAGGGGCAGCATGACAGCGCAGGCCTCAGGCCCTTTGTGTCTTTGTAGCCAACTGCCTGGCTCCACGGCAGCCCCCCAGGCATGACCCACAGGCCTGGGCCCTCGGCCCTTTACCTCCTCCTTCAGGGCGGGCTTTGGTCCCAGCAGCAGCAGCACCGGCAGCTTGGTCACTGGAACATCCCTGCGCAAAAGAACAGAACCAATATGCTTTGGGGACTCCAAGGCTCAGGAGGGAGACCACAGGCTTTGTTGAGTGAGTCACTGAGAGCTTGGTGTGGGGCCCCTGGCCTCACACGCCGCGTTGCCCACCCTGGTTCAGCCTGCCCATTCCCCTGTGGTCCAGCGCCTGTGCCCTCTTCTCATCCTGCTTTGTAGCTCTGCAGCCCCTGCAGACGGTGCCCCCCCACATGGCTCCCCGGGCCCTACCTGTACACGAGGCCACTGGAGCAGGTTCCCCCCAGCAGCCAGACAGGGCAGGCTGAGCACCCCTCATCCCGGGGTCTGCCTGTGGGGGATCACAGGGTCTGTCAGCTCTCACCTGGGGCAAGATCTTGTTCATGGCTCTGGCCTGGCTGGTGCAGCTGGCTGAGCCAGGTTCCCGTCAGGTTTCCAGGGAGCCTGGGGAGGACGCCCAAGCCTGGCCCTGCCCTGCCCCCCTCCCTGGCAAGACAGGACAGGGACCCGCCCAGGCAGCACTGCGAGCTTGGAATCCTCATCCCTCCGGCACAGGTGAAGAGCAGGGCACTGGGGAGGAGAAACTGCGAGGCCCTGATCCTAGGGGTGGGGTGGGGGCTGTGTGAGGGCAGCCGCTGAGATTCTGGAGCAGCTCTTACGCTCCAAGCCTACCCCACCGCCTCACACACATCCTTGCTATGGAATAGGTACGACCACTAATCTGACTGAGGAGGAAATGGGCCCAGAGAGGTTAAGTGATTTGCCCGAAGCCACACCAGAAATAAATGGCAGAGCTGAGATTTCAAGCCCTGTGGAGTTGACACACAGTTTACCTCTGGGTGTGAGCTGGTTTATTCATTGCAACCCTGCTTGACCCTCAGGACCATCATCAGTCTTTCTGACTTGCCCTTCCCCAGAGCCGGAGCCTGCGGCAGTTCACTGATGTCAGGATCCACAGTCTGCTTTGTGCCCAGCCAAGCTCTCAACTGTGTCATGGTGGTGCACACCTCTAATCCCAGCACTTGAGACGCTGAGGCAGGAGGATTGCCACAAGTTCGGGGCCAGCCTGAGCTACATAGTGAGTTCAAAGGCAGCCTGATTTACATAGCAAGTCACTGTCTTAAGAAACAAACCACAAAACAACAATAAAAACACAGACAACCGCAGTGAGGCGGTGGGCAGAGGGCTCCCACAGCAGGGGCAGATAGTGAGGGTCGGAGGGGACACAGAGCTGCCAGGAAGCCTGGACTCTCATATTTTGGTTTTCTTTTTCCTTCTTCTGGGCAGGATCTTGCTAAGTCATCCAGGCTGTTCCGCCTCCCCATAATCCTCTGCCTCGTTTCACAGAAGGGAGGACTAAGGTGCCCCAGCCAGCGTGGCCACCCCAGCAGGTGGCCTCAGGGCTGTGTGCGGTCAGTGTCAGTCCATTGGTCTCCTCACCTTCTCCCTCTAGCCTGAGCACCCCGCTTTGCCTCGCAGGGTCACTGTGCACACGGCCTCCTGTCACATGTTTCTGGCCAGGAGAGACTCCCTCCGGGGCCTTCTGCTTTTGTCTTGTCCTGGGGTGAGGCAGCTGCAGGGTGGCTGGGCCTCAGAGAAGCAAGAGCTGGGGCCTCACTGTGCGACCTCCAGCTCCACTCTGCTGGGCTCTGCTGGCTGTGGCGTGGCTCCTAGGCCAGGGCTAGATAAAAGACATGGTCCACATGGCCTGTCCTCTAGCTGTGTGATCTCTGAGAAATCGCTTAACCTCTCGGAGTGTCTGCTTTCCCGCCTACCTCTCCAAACGTCCTTGCCACCCAGTCCTGAGGCAGGGGTGTCCCCAGGAGGTGGACTTCAGTGTTCCCCTCCTTGCCCAACACCAAGGCAAGCTCTTTGTCTTTACTTTCTCAGACCCTGCCCCCCAGATAAATTTCAAGAACGTCAGAACAATACATCAGATGGAGGAGGGTAATACAGCAAACGCTCTGTAGCCATCCTGGGGAGTTAACAAAGTTAACAAATGTTAACTTTTCATTTTGTCTGCTTCACATTTTTTCCTATTAAGTATGATGTAATTGAAGGCTTCTTTTTTCCCTCTTACATTACTCCCCGCCTCCTTGCAAGTCTGGCTCCTGGATACGCTGCGTCTGCTTCCCGGGCCTGGCTTTTCCATGTGTACCCAGGCAGGGAAATGCACAGGATCACTGTCTAGGCAGCTTTTCTCTTCTTTCCCTTTCTCTCCTTTTCTCAGGGCTGGGGATCAAACTCAGGGTCCTGTACATGCTAGGCAAGTGCTCTACAACTGAGGAACAACAAGAAACCTAAACACTTACATGGCACAAAAACAGACGTGAGGGTCAGCGGAGGAGGCAGAGATGACTCCAGCCATGTTCAGCTATCTTAATTACAAAGGAGCCAAGGGAAGGTAGTGCTGGAGGAAAGACAGAGTCTTTAATAAATGGTGCTGGGAAGACTCCTGCAAACAGGCAGCAGATTGAATCTAGACCCATCGCTCTCACCCATAGCTTAGACTAAAATAAAAATGGATCAGAGATCTAAATGGGAAAGTAAAAAACACTCACACTCAACCTGCTGAAAGATAAAACAAGTAAAACCTGTTTAGTTTTTGGTTTTTTTGAGACAGGGTTTTGCTATGGAGTGCAGGCTGGCCTTGAATTTATGGGGCTCCTCCTACCTCAGCCTCCCGAGTTCTGGGATCACAGGTGTACACCAACACAGCTGGCTAGAAATAGGCAGAACTATTGACGATCTGGATGTAAGCAAGGACTTCCTCAAACAACCCCAGTTGCATAGGAAATAACACCAAGAACCCAAATAGCACCAGGAATCATCAAAATAAAAATCTTCTGCACAGCAAAGAAAACAATCAACAGAGTGAAGAGACAACGTACAGAAGGGGGAAAATTTTTGCCAGCTACTTCTTGGACAGAAGACTAATGTTGAAAATATATGAAAAACTTCAAAAAAGATCTCCCAAATAAAATCTCCAATCTAAAAATGGACAAGTGAAATGCATATGTACTTTCAGAAGAAGTATCAGTGGCCTATAAACATATAAAGAAATGCTCAGCACATTTGGCCACTAGACTTGAGATACTTTTAGGAAAATGGATGCACCTTGATGCATACGTTTGAGTGAAATGAATTGGACACACATGTAAGTAACACATATTTCTTTGGTGTGAGAAACCAAAAGTGTAAATAAGGACCAAAATGTCTACTAGGTATTGTGAAATAGGAAGAAAACGTTCAAATGGGGAGGGGAAGGTGAGGGGGGCGCAGAAGGGAAAGTAAAAACAGAAAACAAAGAAGAAGAAGGAAAACACAGAAACAAAGCTTTGTAAATGGGGAGGGAAAGAAAGGGTTGAAGGAAGAATAGGAGGATGGGGGAAAAACCAAGTCGTATCATGACAGGTACAAATTCTCTACGATGAATGTGATCGTTTTGTGTATCTAAAATGTACCAGGGGCCAAGGGTTTTAGCTCAGTGACACAGCGCCTGCCTGTAAGGGCAAGGTCCTGAGTTTGATTCCTGGTTCCATAAAAATAAAGTAGGGGGCTGGGGATTTAGCTCAGCGGCATAAGCACCTACCTTGCAAGCAGGCGGTCGTGAGTTCGATCCCGGGTACCGATAAAAAGGAAAAAGACAAAAAAAAAAAAAAAAAAAAAAAAAAATAAAGTAAAAGAAAATGTATCAATAAAATCTGATTAAAAATTTCTGACCACTAGAGAAATGCAAAGGAGAGAGACAGAGAGAGACACAGAGAGAGAGACAGAGAGAGAGAGACAGACAGACAGAGACAGAGAGAGAGATATCGAAACAGCAGAGGTAGGGGCTGGGGATTTAGCTCAGAGGCATAAGCGCCTGCCTTGCAAGCAGGCAGTCGTGAGTTCGATCCCTGGTACCGATAAAAACGAAAAAGACCAAAAAAAAAAAAAAAAAAAAAAACCCAAAAACAAAAAACAAAAAACATCAGAGGTTCCATCTTACTCCAGAAAGAGTAGCTAACATCACACACTGATAAAACAAATGCTGGTGAGGTTGTGGGGGTGGGCAGTGGGGCACCTCTACATTGTTGGGGGGAGTGTAACCTCGTATAGCCACTGTGGGAATTAGTACGGAGATGCCTCAAAACACTAATAATAGAAGTTCTATTTGATCCAGCTATTCCTCTTCTGAGTATCTTCTCCCAAAAGTTAAAGGCATCACATTAAACATGAAGCTTGCATACTCATGTTTATAGCAGCACAGCTCACTATATTATATATATATGTATATGTCCATCAACAGATGAAGGGATTAAAAAATACGTGTATACACAGTGAAATACTACTCAGCCGTACATGAGGATAAATTTGGGTCATTAGCAAGAAAATGGATGCACCTTGAGACAATAATGCTCTCTGTGATATAAATCAGACACGGAAGATTAACCTTCATATGGCTCCTCTTATATGAAAAACCCAAAGTGTGAATAATTTAAAAGGCAAAATAAAAGATGACAGGATTCAAGGAAGAGGATCTGTTGTAGATAGAAAGGCGATCTAGGAGTAGAGGGGAGAGAGGAGGGGAAAAGGGAAATAAAAAGGATTAAGTTGCCTTATGTAAAAAAAAAAAGAAGATAGGATGTGCCTGTGCACCAGTTCTCCACGATGATTGTCCTCCTTATGCCCTGCAAACATATACTAATAAAGAGTGAGTAACAAAGCACACAGAAATGGCACCTCAGTGTTCTCATCTCTCGGCTCTTTGCTCATATATCTAGAACTCTAGACTCGCCCTGCAAGGCCATCTTTAGCTTTCTCAGACGTCCAAGTGGCCCGGGTGGGCCGTGCCAGCCTGCACACCTCTCGGCCAGCCCTTGGAATCTGACTACTGAGCCTGAGCCTGGCAGCGCGCTCCTGTAAACACTGAACTCGGGAGGCAGAGGCAGGCGGATCACTGTGAGCTTGAGCCAGCCTGAGCTAGTGTAGTGGGTTCAAGGCCAGCCCTTAGTACAGAGCTCAATGAAGGAAGGAAGGAAGGAAGGAAGGAAGGAAGGAAGGAAGGAAGGAAGGAAAGGCAGCCTTCCTGACGCCTGACGGCGGGTGCTGGTTTCCCTTTCACTTCCGCTCCTGTTTGCCAAGGCTTTGAGCGCTCGCTCTCGCTCTGCCTGCCTTCTGAGAAGGGTCGCCGCCCTCTGCATTCACCTAGGCGGGGCATGACGCCGAGGGCCTGGCCCGGGCTCTCAGGGGCCTCAGCCCCGGCCGGCTTAGGGGTGTAACTGCCTGCTCACGTGGAGCTGTGGTCTGCGGGCCGGTGGCCGTGGGGTGAGGGCGCAGGCCCCGGACACGCGGAGCTCGCTGTGTAGACGCGGGTGTGCGCGGACCGCTGCGCTGCGGCGTCGGAAACTCTTCGGAGAAGGGAGATAGCTGAGTCAAACGGAATTTCTAAGTGTGGCTTTTTGAGGTTTCCTGGTCTCACCGTAGATCCACAAAGCCAGAATCTGAGTCCTAACAAGATTGCCCTGAACACAATACATTTGTGCTCCCCCTTCCCTGCACTCTGCTGTCATTCAGCCCTTGCAGGATTCCATCAGCAAATGGACTCCCTCCCCAGGGCGCTGCTTTTTCATATACGGTCCCCCTCTGCCTCCTCCTTTTTGTAGCACTGGCGATCGGACCCAGAGATGCTCTACCCCGGAACCACATCCCCAATCCTTTCTATTCAGTTTTTTTGTTTCAAGATGAGTCTCCAGTAGCCTAGTCTGGTCGGTGCCCCGTGGGCACCACAGTTAGATGGACCCAGGGAGCTGAGAAGGCTGCATGCAGACCCACGGAGGAGCGGCCCAGTCTCTGCGTCAGGGTGGGTTCTCTTTCTTGCTCTCTGGGCTCCTGGCTGCACTCACACTTGGGGTGGTGTTGGGGGAGCCTCCTCTCCTGACAGGAGATGAGGCAGCCTGACCCTCTTTCTGCAGGAGGTGAAGATCCACACAGCAAGGTGACTGCTGTGAGGGCGCGCAACGTCAGAGGGAGTCACCGAGACTCAAATAGGCACTCTTAAAGGACGCTACTGGGCTGTGTAGGAAATGAACAGATCTGGAGTTCTAGTACCAATGGCAGGATTACTTCCGGGTCACGTTATTAAGCACTTTCGTTGAAACCTCTCATTTCCAATCAGTGGCAGATTTCTTTCCACCCAGGCCCTCAATTACTGCTGTTTTAAGACTGTAAGAACAATTCAAATTTAAACAGCATGCAAGAAGCAATAAAAGAAATCCAAATAATTTAGAATTAAGCAAGCAAACTAAAAATAATTCACTCTTAAAATGACAGAGTGAAAGCAAGCCTAAGCCAAAGATTTGGAGAACTTGGATGAGAAAAGTTATCTTCACCAACATGTAAGTGAAGGACAGCAGTGGGTCACACACCATAGTGGGACCTGTAGTACCTATGACTTCATCTGCTACATGAAGTATATGCACTGGACTTCCACAGTTACAAACTTAAGAAAAGGCATAGAAATTGTGCTCCTGCATTTCAGTACTGCAAGGAGTCAGAAAATCTGCACTAACTGTATGATTTAGCTCTCCACAGACTTCCTTTCCCACTATCTCAATCCCTCCCACTGAGTGTGCCCCACCTGGACTCCAGAACAAGCCATCAAGGAAACAGATTGAAAAAGGGAACTCAAACATGACCACAGGCTTGGCAATGGTGGGGTATGCCTATAATCCCAGAACTGGGGAGGCTGAGGCAGGAGGATTGCCATGAGTGTGGTCTACAAAAGGAGTTCAAGACCAACCTGAACTGCATAGTGAGACTCTGTCTCAAACAAAACAAAAACAAAAACAAAAATATGACCACAGGACCTGCTTAGAAACTGGAACCCCAAGGGCAGGGCTCAAGATCACACTGAGCTGGGAGAGGCTGGCTGCTATCCCTAGAACTGGAAGTCAAGGTAGGCTGATTGGCATCATAATTGAACAACTCAGCCCAACAGGAAACAGCATCCAGAATCCAGATCCATGAAGCAACCTCCCCTGCTTGCTGGGCAGCACTCAGTGTTATGACCCAGAGACCCATCCCAGGCTTACTATGGAAACAGTGACATAGGGAACAAAGAGCCTTGTAGACAGGAATTTTAGAAATATAAGTAAACAAGCTGGGCATGTTAGCACACGCCTGTGACCCTATGCAGGCTGAAGCAGGGGGTTTCTGAGTGTGAGACCAGCCTGGGCTACATAGTGAGACTACAGATGCAATAGGAAGGGAAAAGGGAAATGGGCATATTAGGTATCCAAGACAAAGAACTCAGGGCAAAGGCACATGGGCCTGTGGGCCTGCTCCTGTGGCCCAGCTTCTGCATCATTGTCTCATGATCCCTAACACTATCATCCTCTTGTTCAATCTCTTGCAATGGCATCCTCTGCTCAGGTCTGGTTTTCATGAGGTCTGTTATTAGTCTTTCCTATAGGCCCACCCACTGCTTCAAACTCATGATCGCCCTTCTGCCTCAGCCTCCATGTGCTGTCGTCGCAGGTGTAGGCCACCATGCCTGTGCTCACGGCTGCTTCTCTGTGCCATATCCCAGTCTACTAATCCAGTTGCAGTTCCCCTCCCTCACCTCCAAGGCCATGACACTGCCCCAGCACTGCCTCTCTTGTCCCTCCAGGTTAAGTGAGGCCATTGCTGCCCTGTGCTGCCATCTTCTCTCAAGCTTATCTGGTCACAAAATTTACTGTGTTACCCCAGAACGAGCAGCTGGAGCCAGTACCAGGCCTACTGCAGCCCTGTCACCTACTACCAGGCGTGGCATTCAGGGTCTCAACCAGCCGTTGATTCAAAGTGTGTTGTATTAGGACATCAGGCACGGTCACTGTTTCAGTGTGGGGGTGACCAGAAACCTCTGGATCCATGATTCCCAGTATATGGAGTCTACAAAAGAGCGGGGTGAAGTGACATGTGCTTGTAATCCAACTTCCTCAGAGGGCTGAGGCAGGAGGGTCGTGAGCTCAAGGTCTGCCTGGGCTCTGTCCCAAAAAAGGGCTGTTGTGGAGCACTCCTGAGTTCAATACCCAGTAAGAGGAGAAAAAAGTCCACAGAAGCTAAAACAGAGCTATTTTATATATTTTTTAAAACCCTAATAGAGCCGGGAGTTTAGCTCAGTGGCATAAGCATCCGCTTGGCAATCACGTGGTCATGAGTTCAATCCCTGGTACAAAAAAAAAAAAAAAAAAAAAAGTCCTAACAGAGCCAGGCATGGTGGCATGCACCTATAATCCCAGCTACCTGGGTGGCGAAGGCAGGACTGCAAGGTTGAGGACAGTATGGACTGAGACAGCAAGGCCCCGTTTCAAACTGAAGAAAGAAGGGCTGGAGTAGAGCCCAGCGAAGGGTTAAAGCTTCAGTCCCAGCCCCAAACCCCAAACCAACCAGACCCAAGCGCCTCACAACGGAAGTGGCTCACTTTGCAGAGATAAAGGGAAGGTCAGGGTTAGTTATTTTCTGGCTCAGAGTAACACCACGAGATTTTACATGCTCAATAGCAGTGCAGACTGCTGGATGATCGTTGTAGGAATTTGAGACAAGATACAGTAGATTATCACAAATCAAAGGTGCCTGGGATTTTGTAAAAGGACGAGAAAGCTGGGCCTAACTAAGCCCTCTTTGGCTCATGTGGGTGACTGTGTCAGGTGGGAGGCCTGAAGTTAAGAGGTATGAGCCAGACCCAGTCTTGATTTTTTTGTACCAGAAATCAAACTCAGGAACTTGCGCTTACCAGGCAGGCGCTGTGCTGAGTCCTGTGACTGCGTTTAGGCCCACACAAGATCTTTAGGGAGATCGTCTGTGTGGTGAGGAGAATGCTACACAAAGAAAGGTGGAACTACCTCCAATGCAGGCTGAAGGTCCCCCTCAGCCCTTTGGTTAGAATTCCCAAGATCTGAAACACTTTTACCCTGTATGCATTTTGAGGGATTTTTCTTAAAAGTGAGAAATGTTTTTTGGCAAATATGAGTGCCTATGACTAGTTATGAAAGACTGGGTATTTCCAACTATAAAGAATTCTCTTACAAACAAGAGAAATAATGTGATGAACTTACATCAATACTTCAAACAGGAACTGAGGTAGCTATGTCACGCGCACTGCACTAAGAGCCTGATGATTCCTTAAGAGTATAGTACTGTGCCTATTTCCTATGTTTGCTTTTCTGGATGCTTCACAATGAAGCCTGTGCATAATTAAGGAATTAAGTATGTGCTATCGATGGGAGACAAAACTACCTGGCTTTTCTTTCTTTTAAAATTAACTCCAAGCCATTCCTATTTTCTGACTTTTTTCACAAAAATAAGAAAAAGGCAATGACTGACAGCAACGTATTTAATAATTCCTCTTCTCCCCTCCAAGTGGATGTGTTTACAGCCTTCTAACCCTGTATCTTCCAAATCTAGACGAACTATTTTAAAAATCAAAACCTTGGGTTTTGTGACCAAAAGACTTACTTAATTAGCTGTTAACTGCATTTTCTTCTGACTTAAGAGAAATCTGAGGCTATAAAGTGAGCATGACTCACTCTCCAGGCAAACAACACTACCAAAGTCATCAGCTACACTGTCAAGGACAGCACTGGCCTGCAAAATCCTCACATTCCCAGCGCAGTGACACTGAGTCACACTCATGTTCTGGTATCTGGCGTCACTCTTATTTTTAAATCTGCATGATTGTAGGAAAAGGAATGGTAACAGTATTAGTTTAATTCTGCATCACAAGAGTATAACTGTCAAAATGAAATTTTTTCTCTGCAAGTATCTTTTTTTTTTTTTTTTACTGGGAATCAAACTCATGACCTTGCGCTTGCCAGACAGGCACTTATGCCACTGAGCTAAATCCCCAGCCCTCTGTGCAAATATCTTATCTCTTACTTGACCTTGTTTACCAAATGACAGACTGAATGGGTACAAAGTAACACCAGCAGGAGCCTGAGGAATCTTTCTGCTTCACCCTGCTACATGGCATTAGACACAGAACATTTGATCATTATTTTCTGGGTTAGGTGAGTACTGAGGACCAGGAAAACTAGATACTCAAGTTTCAGCACACAGTTGTTCAAATAAAACTTTAATGATTTCAGTTCCATACAACTGAAAATGTAGTGTCATTAAACAGCATTTCCTGCTAAATTTCAATGTACAGATTTGTGGGCCATTTCTGAGTAGAAGCATCATTCCTACTAAGTATTCAGCTTGTTAGCTAAGATAACTGACAGTATCATGGCAGGAGTGGGGAAGAACAATGATTGGTTCAGACAGTTTGGCTAAGAAAGGAAAACAACACAACCAACAACATAACCACAGGTATTAGTAAAACAAAAATACAACCCCAAACATCCATGTCTTAAATTACTAGAAAGAAAATACAGGTAATGTTACAGCAAATACAGTCTTCACAGATTTGGGTAACTTTATTTGCATTTCATGGTGATTTCTCAAGGCCTATATCCAATGAAACCATTTATAAAGCTCTATAAGGAATGTAAATTCAGGGGTCTATGACAATTTTCTTTTAAAAAAAAAAAAAAAAGCTTAAATTTCTGAATGAGCAAGATTCATTTTTGTAGGTAGAGGACCTGCTTCTTCATGATCTTCAGTTTTAGATCTAACAACCACAAGAGAAGATGCCGGGTATCTGCTTAGCTTCTGTTCATTCATAAACTCCAAGTCACCATAGATGCTCAGTTTCTGCAAAAGAAAATCAACGCACCTCAGTACTTTGGGTAAGTAGTAAGTTTCCAAGTAACAATTTAATCTCTGGATATTTGGCTAAATATTATACAAATACCTTTGAGAACAAAAAAGATTTTGCATTCAAAGTGTTACAGATACATGACTTGGCTCCCAGTGGATGCCAAAGAGAGCTTTCCCCTGCACTGCAACTTGAAATCCTTAGAGGTGCAATGAATGAGTATCAAATAAAATTGCTTAGGTTTTTTTTTTTTTTTTTTTTTTTTTGCTTTTTCATTTTTATCGGTACCAAGGATCGAACTCATGACCGCCTGCTTGCAAGGCAGGTGCTTATGCCACTGAGCTAAATCCCCAGCCCCAAAATTGCTTAGGTTTAAATGACGTTAACGTGGTTATGTGAGAAAACTGTCCTCCTTCCTCTCCACTAATTCATCTATTACCCATTTTTCAAAGTTCAGTCAAGACTTCCATTATTGCCTCACCTGACAATCTTAGTACATAAACTCCACTTTCCTTAATACTTTATACAACTATTATTTTTCCCATTTAAAGATTTTATCAGTTATACATAAAAAGAGTCTATAGTAAAAGAAAACCCAGATGTCGATCCAAAGATATGCACTTCATTCTAGACTCAATATTTTCCTGGCTATGCAGGTTATCTAGACTTCATAAGCCTGTTAACTCATTTATAAAATGGAATAACAAAACCTTATAGACTGTTGTTGGGCACTGGGATGACATACAAGGCACACAAAAATACTCTACAAAAAGTTTTGAGATAGGCTCTCACTATGTAGTTCAGGCTGACCTTGAACTCACTGTGTAAGTGTATGGTGGCCTTGAACTCACAGCAATCCGCCTCCTGAGTGCTGTACTTGGATTAATACTTATCATCCTCCCTCAGTTTCTGGGGACCTGTATCTATTACATCAATCAATGGTTTATTATTAGATTCTACTTTAATTTCTGTTATTTCCTATTTTCTTTTTTTCTGTGGCACTTTGGAAGCATAAGACAACTCGTTTATTTTAGGACATGATGCTAAGAGACATTAGCTTGTACTTAGTTATGTAAGTAACTTTCTTTTCTTGAAAGGTCTATTGAGTCATCAAATTAAAGCCTTTTCCCCAAAACAAAAACCTTTTTCTTAACAGTTTTGTTTCTTGAGTCAGTTAAATTTTAATTACCAAGAAAGGCACAATAGTTTTTCTCTCTTGGCATTAGGTACCAGAATAGGAACTCAGAATCAAACCCCCTAGTCTTGTTGCTTCTAAAAGTAGTTACTCCTTAACATTTGTGGCAAATAATTCCAAATTGCTAAGTGGTTTTTACAAGTCTTCTCTCCTATTCCACATAAGAATGCCGTGCTAATGCTTCTGTTCAGACTCAAAGATTGGCAGAGACACACCACTCAACCCATCAGCAGTCATCATCACAATAGTCAGACCCCAGAACATCAGGAATGAGTCTTTTGCTGGAACCTGGAATTTTCATGTGTGCCAACCTCAACCAGATTAGAAACTACCAAACTGTCTCACTCTAAGTAAGATGGTTTACTAGATGGTTCAGTCCTCCAAGAGCTCAGGGCTGGAATGAAATTTACCTCAGAGGGAACGTACTGCTCCACAGCTGTAGCAACAGCTGCACAGCAGATCCAGAGCAGCACCATCACTGAGAGGATGAGGGTCATGGTTAGAATCCACCCAGAATTCCTGGAAAACACCAACAGTCATAGTAAAATTTCATAATATAAAAAAAGGAGAGTTTTAATAATTAAAGGCAATCAAACTCATATACTTTTCTTAATAAT